GTGTGTGTGTGTGTGTGTGTGTGTGTGTGTGTGTGTGTGTGTGTGTGTGTGTGTGTGTGTGTGTGTGTGTGTGTGTGTGTGTGTGTGTGTGTGTGTGTGTGTGTGTGTGTGTGTGTGTGTGTGTGTGTGTGTGTGTGTGTGTGTGTGTGTGTGTGTGTGTGTGTGTGTGTGTGTGTGTGTGTGTGTGTGTGTGTGTGTGTGTGTGTGTGTGTGTGTGTGTGTGTGTGTGTGTGTGTGTGTGTGTGTGTGTGTGTGTGTGTGTGTGTGTGTGTGTGTGTGTGTGTGTGTGTGTGTGTGTGTGTGTGTGTGTGTGTGTGTGTGTGTGTGTGTGTGTGTGTGTGTGTGTGTGTGTGTGTGTGTGTGTGTGTGTGTGTGTGTGTGTGTGTGTGTGTGTGTGTGTGTGTGTGTGTGTGTGTGTGTGTGTGTGTGTGTGTGTGTGTGTGTGTGTGTGTGTGTGTGTGTGTGTGTGTGTGTGTGTGTGTGTGTGTGTGTGTGTGTGTGTGTGTGTGTGTGTGTGTGTGTGTGTGTGTGTGTGTGTGTGTGTGTGTGTGTGTGTGTGTGTGTGTGTGTGTGTGTGTGTGTGTGTGTGTGTGTGTGTGTGTGTGTGTGTGTGTGTGTGTGTGTGTGTGTGTGTGTGTGTGTGTGTGTGTGTGTGTGTGTGTGTGTGTGTGTGTGTGTGTGTGTGTGTGTGTGTGTGTGTGTGTGTGTGTGTGTGTGTGTGTGTGTGTGTGTGTGTGTGTGTGTGTGTGTGTGTGTGTGTGTGTGTGTGTGTGTGTGTGTGTGTGTGTGTGTGTGTGTGTGTGTGTGTGTGTGTGTGTGTGTGTGTGTGTGTGTGTGTGTGTGTGTGTGTGTGTGTGTGTGTGTGTGTGTGTGTGTGTGTGTGTGTGTGTGTGTGTGTGTGTGTGTGTGTGTGTGTGTGTGTGTGTGTGTGTGTGTGTGTGTGTGTGTGTGTGTGTGTGTGTGTGTGTGTGTGTGTGTGTGTGTGTGTGTGTGTGTGTGTGTGTGTGTGTGTGTGTGTGTGTGTGTGTGTGTCGCATAACTCATGAACCGATACATATAAAAACACCAAATTTTAAACTTAAGCTTTGTTCTAGCGTCCAATGAGCTGATAAGATTTTGGGCAGAGTCGGAACATCTACTTTTTATATTTTATGGAATATATCTGTTATTTACGTTTAGGAAAGAAAATTCTTTAAATAAAAGTTACTTCTTATATTATTATCTAAAATTTTTGTTCCATACAAAATTTCCTAAAATGGTCCGTATTCGAGAAATTTGACAAAATGTAAAAAAATATTTTTTTATAAAAATTGTTCAAACAAAAGTTGTTTGTAATATAATTCTCTATAATTTTTATTCTTCACATAATTTCTCTAAAATAGACCGTGTTCGAGATATTTGAGAAAATGTGTAAATTTCGAAATTTGAAGAAAACTCAAAAACGGATAAAAAACATGTTCTTAAACATTTTGATATAGATATTTAGAATACCTTCTCATTGTCGCGTGTAGAAACATACAATTTCTCAAAAATTTGCATCTACCTTTGTCAACGCCATCGAATTATTTTATTTGGTTCATGAGGCAAGTAAATTCTTGGATTTCGCTATCCCTTTTTAGATTTTCGCGACTTCGAAATGCTAAAATGCTACATTGCAGGTTCGGATTACAATAAGAACACAGGTGCGTCATCACTTGGCCAAGTAATTCATTGGCGATCGTCCTCTTTGAGCTTAGTGGCATGTTGGTATTATATAGAAATATAGCAGATATTTTTGCATACTCAACAACTTTCTTATTCTTTATTTATTGATAGTTATAGATATTATGTGTTTGAAATTCGAAATAATGGTTATGACGTTATGACAAGAAAATTTCGCTGTTCGCAAACTTAGTTTATTATTCTTTTTGACAGGCATATGTCTATCAAGACTACTAAAACAACTAAAGGAGGCGATGAGCGGGCGGCGGCGGCCCAAGCGGTGCAGTGCACACACATTATTTTTATTTAATAATTAAACTTAAATTAAAATTAATGAGATTATCCATAAAATCTATTTTACGTATATTTTAGAATGTCTAAAATAATTTCTGTGAAATGCAGATAAGATACTTGCATTTTTTGGCAGTTCTGTAACTCTACAGCACTTATGCACCAGCAGCCACTGGTTGGTAGCTTGGTTTTTAGCCATTCCATCGTTAGGTCGTCATGACACGTTTCTCTAATGATTTCACCAAAGTGAGTCCAAGACCTAAATGTGGGTGGCTTGGTTTTGTTGCAGAAGGCGGACAAACTTGTTTTATCCAGCTTTCTCATCAGTGCTTTTTTGGGTAGTTATCTTACAGGATTAATATTTCAGATAATGCGTCGCTTGTCGCTCTCACTCTGAACGTTTAGGTTTGGTAACACTCGGTTATTTTACCGACGACGCGTTGCTAGACGCAACGCTATCGCATCGCGACGCTCGTCGCTACTAGGTTTATCTTTGTCTATGATAGCTATTTTCAGGTGACTCGTGCCTGCATCCTTGTAGCTTATCCCAGGTAGAATCTTGTGGTCCTAGCTGGGTTTTCCCTTTACGGGACGATGCCCCGGAAGAGGAGCCAGATCGTGCCGTTTGCTTGTACCTGATTCCGTTGTGTTCCTGGCCTCTTGTGGAGGAAGAACTAACGTCGCTGCCTAAGGACTTAATTGAGCTGCTTGTGTTTGGTTTGGTGTGAGGGCGTTTGCTGAGAATGACAGTCGCCGTAGTTTTGCCTGCCTGAAGTTTATCCCTCTTCCTCCTCTTTGCTTCAGACCTAGAGATCCTCTTGTCTCTCCAGGGCCTGTCAATTGGAGGTGAATTACGGTGTCCATCCTCCTTTTTTGGAGGTGAGCGTTGACGTGCAGCTTTCTTGAGTTTTTGTTCTTGTGTTGTATTCCTATGATTTCCACGAGTAGCTAGGAAAAGTCGACCGATGCAGAGCGCCGCCGGCAAGGCTGGATACAAGAGAGTGTCAACAGGAGCGTTTTTGTCGCATCTGCCCCTGCGGCAATTCATCCGTCGGCACGTTACCTCTCACCTTATTCTATAATCTTCTATTTAATTGCATAAACTGTAATTCCATATAATTTTCCATGTAATTTTTTTTCACATTCCCAATCACGTAAATTTTCACTTATAATATCACAAGAGCTTAGAAAATGTCCAGAAATAATTTAAGCTTGCGTGGTATTCGGTAAGAAAATTTCACACCATTTCACACCATAATTTTGAAAAAAATTATTAATCCAACTTGATATTTTAAATTAATTTTACTGCTTGTCAAGTTGGCCAGGATATTGTTGTATTTGACATATGTTGATTTGTCATTTTTGTTTGACCGGTTCTGTCACAAAGCTTAATAATTACTAGTTTAAAACGTATGTACGTTGAGTTTAATAGGTGTATAGCGAAATGTCGCAATTTGGTAAAGAAAGTCAACAACGAATTAGACAAGAATTTCAAAATATAACACCAGATAACACCCAAAAATCAAAATCAAGTATATAGAAACAGTTTGTTGAATTTTGTGACTAAAAGTTGTATATTGTTCATGAGTGTATGAGTGTAGTACAGCTGGCTACTATACTGGAGGACTACGCATTTAATATAAAAAAGAAACATTTTGAAGATTATAAGGAAAGTGTGGTCAAAGTGATGTGGAACTCTACTGCTAACCAGTTACAAGAAATCTATTATTTTATTTAAAATATAAAATAAAATTTAATCCGTTTTCTGATGAGGAATTTGCGACCGTTAGAGCTGCACGCGATGCTAAGCGCAAAACATTACAGAGAGACCCATTAAAAAGAAAAGTGAGTGCTTCAGCGTTAACCAGTGACGAATACAAAAAAATTGTTGAAATGTGGGATGAAAATACTCCAGATGAGTTGGCATGGAGAGGAGAAGAAAGATGTTCTGCGTGTATCCAATACTTTAAAAAAGAAACTGATAATTTCGGAAACCCAAAAGGTCGGATAGAATATAATCCAATATTCTCTAAAACCACACAAGGTGGTTCAAAAAAAACTGTCGAATAGTAAATGGTTGATTGCAAATTTCGACAATCCATAAATGTGTCCGATTCGTTCGTTTAAGAAGTTAATGGAAAAAAGGGAAAATCTTATTCAGACCGACAGATTATTCTTAACACCAAACCCATACTGGAGTAAACCGAATTCGAAAGGATGGTACAAGAATAGCCCAGTTGGTAAGAACATTGTATCTTAATGGTTTAAATCAGCAGCGTCTGATATAGAAATTGACACTAAAAAAGGTAAAATAACCAATCATTCTGCAAGATCAACTGCTGTTTCGAATTTTGCCAAGGAAGGAGTTGGTGAACAAAAGCTCAATAAAATTACTGGACACAGTAATAGTCAGTCAATCAAACCTTACTTACAATTGAACGTTGAACATCATCATCAGATGATTGAATCCATGAGGAGAGTTTTATCAGGCACTAGCAAGTTTAATTATAATCAGAGCACAATGCAAAATAAAACAGAAAGTACCCAGATTCAAACCACCAATTCAAGCCAGCCCACAAACTTTTATAATAATTATGTTTTTAATATTAATAAGACCTATAATAATTAAATGTATTTCGTTATTATTTTGCTTATTAGTCGATATCATTAGAGATTTTTCAATGAAGAAATTGGTTCAACATAAAATAAATTCTAAAAAATCAAATTTCGTTAAATAAAAAAAATTACCAACTTAAGATACCCAAATGCTAAACCTCAGATGGGTACTAGCTCAGTCTATCGCCCTTTGGTAATTTTAGTTAACTAAAGGAGGTTGAAATATATTTTTTACAGGTAACATACCGCAATTTCGAAGAAATTCATATGTAGATATATCTACCATATTTCGTTAAATAAAAAAAAATATCAACTTTAGAGTCACCAAATGCTAAAATTCAGATGGGTAGTATTTCAATATATTGCCCTTTGGTAATTTTAAGTCAGTAAAAATGGTAGAAATGTATTTTTTACAAGTAACATGATGCAATTTCAAAGAAATTTGTATGTAGGTATATCCACCATATTTCATTAAATAAAAAAAAAATACCAACTTTAGTTACACCAAATGCTTAAACTCAGATGGGTATTAGTTCAGTTTTTCTTCCTATCATAATTTTAGGTCACTAGGTGGTAAAAATGTATTTTTTGTTAATGTAAAAAATATAATAACATGGTTTGTTGCAGTAGGTGGCCGTGATAAATAGGCGGGCGCCCATGCTTTTGACGGATGAGGTTTATATTAGTAAACTACATTGAGTTACTGTATAGTAAACCAGCAAAACAAAGATATTCTTATGTAAAACATTTCTTGTAAGCATTTGCGTTAAATAATTTGAGAAAAATGGAATGCTTTGAAAAGTACAATTTATGTAAATACTTACTGCAAAGAGTTAAGTCAAGTGCAAATATGTCATCCAAAATTTTTATATTTAACGAATTTATTGGAAATTGCGACCAGGAAGCGTTAGAGTGGAATGGTTTGTATACGAAAATCCAAGAAAGGCTGCTAAGATGTCAAGTAAATATGGCCTTTTGCCTAAAAGATATTTGAACAAAATTGTTTCAAAATATTACATACAGGGGTCGGCATAAGTCTGGCAATACTAAAAGTTTTTTCATACATCTGTACAGATACCTATATTCTGTCACTATGAACCCCGAAAATTTTGGCCACAAGCCGCCACTGCGTCAATGCATTGATCAAGATGGGCATCAATTTGAACACTTAAACTAACCCTTTTTCGAATCCTTTTTGTAATTTCTTCGAATAAATTCATTTTGACGCTGCATTTTTTGTATGCAAATTTGTTGCTTGACTTATGCCGACCCCTGTATACCTATGTCTTAAAACACAGACATCTAATTATTTCGTCAGCTTCGTATTCACCATTAAGAAGAGAGGATGGGTTAAAATTCAAGCAACATTTAAATCTTACTATGTTTGTACTTTGTACCTACATCCTACGTTTTTTGAAATATAAATTATTGTTAATGCATAATAAAATTAAACAAATTTGTGTTTTCTGTTTAATGAAACTTTATAGCGAATAATAAATAATTATGTTAATTCTTATAGAAATTTTGCATTATTCACAGATATATCTACATTATTTAATGGTTGTAGATCATATGTTTACCTTTTCAACTGTCAACAAATTTCCACTTAAATATCGTGGCACCTCGAAATAATTTCCGGAATTTTTTTTAGTTGCTGTGGTAACTAGTCAAAATTAAGGCATCTTGTTGGTTGAAAAGTAGAGGTGTGAAATTTTCATAATTAATTTTTTTTTAATAATCAATAGCATTATTTTTTCACAGTATTTGCTTGGTAAAGGGGGTTCGTTACCCTCCACACAAACTATATAATATATGTACTCATATTATTTTTATCCCAGTGACTTAAGGTAGAGTAGCCCTGGCTCTTAGACTATATCGAAACAAATCAATTTGCAATATTCTTATAAAGCACAGTCATAAAAGTACCATAAAAATGATGCAACAGTATTAGGTACATAAAGAAAGAAACAAAATTGTCCTATATTTATTATCGATTTCAACCTATAATATTTTTTGTTTTACCATTAGAATAGAGATATGGAATTACAGGGAAATTATTATTCATATTTCGTACTGCTGTACAACTGTACTGCTAAATTCTACACGGAATTACCTGTATTTATCGATCCTAGCGTTTATCAAAAATTTAGTGGAAAATAAATATGATTCGTTTTAAATCTGACCAATCTGTAGATATTAAAATACAAATATGATGTTTTCAACACTTTGCTGTAGAGTTGTCAAATGTATTATTGAGTACGGACCATCTAATCAAAAGTGTATAGAATATGAATTAAAAAGAACATTATTCAAAACCTTTCCCTATTTTCTTTCTTCATTGCCAACAAAAATATAAAAAAATTTAAATGATTCTTAAAAAGTACTGTAACGTTTATTTATTTAATCTATTTACAAGATATTTTGTAAATTAGTAAAGTAGTTAACTCAACGATATCTACTATATACTGCCTTTAAACGAGAAAGTTGGGCTATTTATATTAAAATGTTGGGCTCCAAAAATTCTAGATGCTCTTGATTAGACAAGACTAAATATCGGCACCGTTTCCGGTAATTTCTAGGAGACTGGGTGGCTAACTCGACCGACATAGGCGTATTAAGGGTGTTTCGAAAATGACTTGTTTTATCGAATATTCTTGGTAACGGGGAAATGGAGGCCGTAAAAGGCCCAAAATAAGGCTTAACCGATTTGGTCGAAAATGGTTGAGACATGAAGGTACCCCTTCAGTTACTAAGACTATGCCCAAAAACTCATGACACAGGCAGTCATCATCGCGGAAATAATTAAAACGGAATCAGGGATCCCAAAACGTAAAGATCCGTCGAAAACTTGGGGTTAAAGAAATTGTGATTCTTATACTTTCCATACAGGATATAGAAAAGCCAAAATATGAATCTAAATAAAAACATTTTTAATACATTGTACCTTGTATTAATAAAAATAAACAAATACTGAGTAAAAGAAAAAGTAGGCAAAAACAAATTTATTATTTAAATGATTGGTATTTATATCTGATAGCTACATAGTGTAAACACGAAAAGAAAGCAGAGTACTGCTTGTGCAACCACTCGATTACCTACTAACTAATAAATAAAGCGGAAGAATTTTTAAAACTTGTATCGTTTTCATAACAAAACAAAACTAAACTATCTCTAATTTGCTTCCGCGCAAATTAGAAATTGCCACTTAATTCCAGTTGTGTTGATTAAGAAATAATTAAATATGCAATTACAAAAACAATATCACGTCTAACCAACTTATTTCAATTTGCACAATTTTTCTTGACCAAAATTATAGCTGCATGAATCAGTGTATCTGTTGTTATTGGGCATTTATAATTTTGAAAAAGTTTCAGGTAATTGCATGAATATCTCTGGTGCTTTTAAAACTCGATCTATAAAAAGTTATTTTGAAAAAAATTAATAGCCAACATACTGCATATAAAAACCAAAAGCCTATTTTAAATATTCCTATAGATTTTTATTGTTTAATAGATACTACAAAAATGTTTAATAAGATATAATTTTCTCCAAAATTAACAAAATTTTGCAAGGGCAGAGTACGACCTTCTGTCCAATTTTATAATATAATAATATAATAATAATATAATAATATAATAATATAATAATATAATAATATAATAATATAATAATATAATAATATAATAATATAATAATATAATAATATAATAATATAATAATATAATAATATAATAATATAATAATATAATAATATAATAATATAATAATATAATAATATAATAATATAATAATATAATAATATAATAATATAATAATATAATAATATAATAATATAATAATATAATAATATAATAATATAATAATATAATAATATAATAATATAATAATATAATAATATAATAATATAATAATATAATAATATAATAATATAATAATATAATAATATAATAATATAATAATATAATAATATAATAATATAATAATATAATAATATAATAATATAATAATATAATAATATAATAATATAATAATATAATAATATAATAATATAATAATATAATAATATAATAATATAATAATATAATAATATAATAATATAATAATATAATAATATAATAATATAATAATATAATAATATAATAATAATGTCATAACCCGTCAAGAATATTCTAGATGACAGTTCGAGAAGGTTCGATATAAGGATGATCCTGACGTCAGTTTTCAGTTTTATGATAGACGTTACAATGTTAATGTTATCGTTTGTATAATTGTTGTTAAAGTTGAGTTGAAATAAATCGCGATACCAAAAACCAGCGTAACCAGCTCACGCTCAACGGGACGGAGCTTTATGGGAAAAAGACCAAAGATATAAAAAATTCGTTTGGGAGGAATACGTAGGTTACAGACGGCTACAATTTAAAATTTGTTAGATGTATACAGGATGTCCCACATAAGAAAAAAAAAATTAGTTTATTAAAAATTATTCAAACAAGAGTAAACAATTAATTTCTGGGAGACTTTTTTTCCTTAAAAATTCAAATAAATCGAAAACTAATAATAATAGTAATAGGGAACCTTTAGTTAACTGACATTATTTTTAATGTAGTTTTTAATTCTAAAATAAAAAACAGGGTGTTCCATTAAAAATAATATAACTTTGTATATTTTCTTTATTATAATAAAATATAATATAATATAATATAATATAATATAATATAATATAATATAATATAATATAATATAATATAATATAATATAATATAATATAATATAATATAATATAATATAATATAATATAATATAATATAATATAATATAATATAATATAATATAATATAATATAATATAATATAATATAATATAATATAATATAATATAATATAATATAATATAATATAATATAATATAATATAATATAATATAATATAATATAATATAATATAATATAATATAATATAATATAATATAATATAATATAATATAATATAATATAATATAATATAATATAATATAATATAATATAATATAATATAATATAATATAATATAATATAATATAATATAATATAATATAATATAATATAATATAATATAATATAATATAATATAATATAATATAATATAATATAATATAATATAATATAATATAATATAATATAATATAATATAATATAATATAATATAATATAATATAATATAATATAATATAATATAATATAATATAATATAATATAATATAATATAATATAATATAATATAATATAATATAATATAATATAATATAATATAATATAATATAATATAATATAATATAATATAATATAATATAATATAATATAATATAATATAATATAATATAATATAATATAATATAATATAATATAATATAATATAAT